GTTGCAACTAATCGACAACTAAGTTGACAACTAATCGATTGAAAAAATTTTAATCAACTCGAAACACTAGCTTACTAGTAAAAAAAAAGAATTATTAACATATTTCTTATTTTTTTCAAAAAATATTATTATTATTATTATTTTTTTTTATATTGCCGAATTCCATAACAGGCAAACTTTATTAGAAGTAACATTAAATGTTATTACATTTTTATATTATTACATGCTGCAGTATATTTCTAGATCTATGAGAGTACATCAAGCTACACATGCACCTTTTGGGTACCTATTTAAGTAGTCCACCTGAAGGTTCTACACTAGATGTTGTACCTATAACCCAACTAGGGAGTTACTCATTTAAACTCTCTGATATCCCTAGTTCTGCACTGCCCTATTTGGTTCAAACCGTCTCACCTCATGCTGCACAAAGGCTACCCAGGCTGGTATTCCCCTACTAACTTTATCTCTTTATAGATAAACCCTTCAAATCTAATTAACTAGTATTTATTCAAGGAAGGGCACAGTAGATGCCCTCCTAAATCTTTCTACATCCCACACATTTCCAGATTTGGTTCAGAGATACTTTACCTGTATACTAGCAAGCCTGGTTACCTAAGCTGCACATATTCTCTACCCTTGTAAAGTTCATTTCTACCCCAGTACTCATATTCGAACTTTCTTTTTTTCCTAGATTCTTTACTGATCTCTCTCTTGTTTTCAGCTAGCAACCTGAAAGGGTTGGTCTGCCCAGGCTTTAGGTGCTTTATAGTCTTCCTTTTCTTGGTACATGCTTTCAGAGCATATGTTCTTTTCCTCTAGTTGGCAATCTGGTAGTTTGGCTAGTGTGTTTCCCCACTTAAAAACCTGGTCACTCAGTTCTCCAGTTTCAGTTTCTGGTTCTAAATTCGGTCTTCCTGTGGCACTGTTGAAAGTTTCCACTACTTCTTACTCGGGTCTTCCCAAACGGGTTTCGATCATCTCAGTTTCTTGGCATTTATATGCCGAAGCTCCCATAACAAGATGGTGCAACCAAGATTATAGATTGTAGATCTAACCGATCGATGGATAATCATTACCGAACACAGGCTTAATTTTCAAAATCATCATCTGTGGGATTTGAACTCTAGACCTGCTGCTTGGAGAAGTGACAACTAGACTACTTCACTAAGCTGCTACACCCTCTTTAAAAAATATTAAGAAATAGTAAAATTAATAAAAGTAAAAGTTAGTACTTATAGAAATAATAGAATATGAAAACAGAATACTCTTTTTTTATATATATAATGTTCTTATTTTTTTAAAAAAGAACAATTAAAATTACAAATAACAAATAATTATTATTATATTTAATAATTTTAATATTTTAATAATAAATTTGATCAATTACAAAGCTTAAAGAAACATATAAAATATAATTTGCTTTATTTTTTATTTGTATACACTTTTAATAAATTTCTATTTTTGGTTGTATAAAAGAATTATATACATAATTTGAGTTTTGTAATATTAAAATTACCAAAGTTTGCTGTTAATTTTTGTATTTACATATACCCCACTTTGAATCTTCAAATATATTACTCAATTTATTATATAAGTGCTGCCAAGAGAAAACCTGTCATTAGGCTTTTAATTATATTTCATAACAGACAAAATCTATAGAAAATATGTCTGGTACAAAATATAATTGAAAGCCCAATTACAGGTTTTTTTTTGGCAATACTCATATGCTTCTTCTTCATGAATACACAATAATTTCATCCTTGATTTGGTAAACTCTTTTAATACTTTCTTGAAAAATACCAATGAATAAACTTTTTAAGTATAATGCTTTTACTAATTGCTATTTATATAATTAATGCCCATTTTTTAGTTTATTCTAAATCAAAAAAACAAAGTTTTTTTAAATTCAGGAATTGCTTCAGAAGGTTGTAGTATTATATCAACTCAAGAAATATTGTAATTAGAATAAACTATTACTTCATGCTAATTTAGTATATATTGATTTTTATAACTTCTTCCTGGGCATAAAACACAATATATATATGAGGAATTAATAGAAAGTTAATTAGTTGTATGATAATTTTGTTTGTGAATTTTGTGTTAATGTAAAAGTAATCCTTTAATATTTTTAAACATCTTATTTGAGCATAGTTGACAAGTAACAGCCAGTAAACTTTGAATTTCTATTTACGTTTACATGTGCATAGATCTAACAATAACCCAGGTTGTTTGGTCTATTACAAAGTAAAATCTATGTAACTTACGGAGTTTTCAGAGTCTTTTCTCTTTTTATGCTGACGCCCAGTTCATTATAATGTTTACTGATGTTTACTATGATGATATGGGTGGCTTAAAATCATTTGGCGGTTAACATTACACAACATAATAGATTTACGTAACCGAAATTATGATCTAATTTCACTGATCAGCCGATATGATATTTTACTGTCCATTATATTTAATAATTGTGAAAGAACAAACATTATAAAGTAAAATTTCACAAGAAAAAATTTTGTTAGGACACAAAAGTCGATTTGTTATGTAAAATTTCGGGATATGAACAGTTTTTAAAAACGGACAAATTTTTTTGATCGTGTTACTACACTGACCATAATTGAATCATTGGTTGATAAACATAATTACAAGTTACTAACATTAGAAAGGTACTTTCTTGTTATCTGGCATGATTTGACGGATACATAGGTATTGGCAGGATAATAGCAAAAGCACGTGGCTGAAGGCCTTGTGCGTTGCAATTATACTGTCGATGTCCATGGTCCGTATATCATGTCAGATAAGTAGTTTATCTGGCAGGTATGACGTATACACTTACGGAAAGGATTTTATATCAGATATTAATTCCGCAGATTTTATATTAAAATTAATAAGAATTTGTCACATGATTTTAATAAAAATTTGCGGAAATAATGTGAAATTTTTTCCGTCAGTGTTTACATAGTACCTGCCGGATAACTGAGAATACATTAACATTTGTTCTATTAATCTTTAACAAAGGTATAATTACGATTATTAATTAATTAATTGAGTATGTATGCTGCTTGAGAACGCCCTTCAATTGTTATTCAATTAATATTAAGTATATTATTACAGCGATAAAAAGCATTAGCAAACGAATCATAATTATTACAAGTTACTGTCATTGAAGTAGATTCTTGAGAATACATCTATTACATTATCGATTGTTCTATTGATCTTTAAAAAAGGTCTAATTAAATTTTATTATAACAAATTAGCACCATTACGATTAATTATATTACTTGAGAACACCCTTCAATTGTTATCCAATTATACGTATAATTGTATTTCCAATACGTATACGTAGGATGTTCATTATACACAAATTTGTGACATAAATTCCGTTTTATATATGTCCGACCATTATACAGATTTTGTACACTTGCCATTCTATAGTTTGTTAACCATACACTTCGTAATTTGCATTACTACGTTCCTGGTACTGGTCGTACCCCTAAATGACAATCTAGTCCCGATTGTCAATTGAGACAGCCCAAATATTAATTTGCAAATCTAACCCTAACGTCTGGGCCAACATAATTTATTTTTGGGGCACAACACATTTATGCTCTAAAAATTCATCAGACCAATAAAAATATAAGATATTCTGCCGATTAGATATGCTTTCAAGTTAATATAAAATTCCCTATTTGATTGGTCGATTACGTGTAACATTGCTCCGCATTAGATAACACCTAATTTAGAAATACCCCACTTTTAGATTTGATGATCATCTAGCGTTGTTGATTGACGTGAACATGCAAAAAAAATAATTATTTAATGATTTACTATTGAACTATATTGGAAAGTCCTCGTTGTGTTCATGTGCTTCAATAAAGCAATTGGGATAATCTATCAAGTCTTACTAGCTTGGAATATTCTATGGTATAAACATGATAATTGCAGTCAAAAATTTGCCTGTAAGACGTAAATAATAACGGCTTATATAGTCGTTAAATAACGATAAGGTTAAACTACAAACACTAATTTGGCTCCGGGTTATCCGACATGTAATATGATCATATGTCACAAGATTATGTAATCATTTGTGCAAAATATCACGTCAAAATCATCACATGCTCACATATTGATCTCATATAGAGTGTCCAGGATTATGCTCCGATAAATGCCAAGTTATGCATTCGGTAAATTGGAAATTATGCGAATTATGCGATTTTTGAGTTATTAGCCAATAAAATTCAAAAAACACGATAAGTCAGGTGATCACAGTCGCATTTACAAGCCGGTTTATTTATTTAACCAATCAAATTTTGCATGAAAGTGCATGAAAGTGAGCAAATTATGCGATCTCATATAAGAAAAATTGCAGATTATGCGCATAATATGCCGGATCATAATCCTGGACACTCTAATCTCATATTAACTGTTAATGTTGCATATGTGCTGCGTAGCAGCACATTGGAGTGATATTAATTCCGATGAAGAGTTGCCTGATTATTTTACAATTATGTCCGATTATGCATGCATGTAGGGAATTTCAAAATGTGTATTATTTAGTAAAGGCGCAACATCAACATATCACGTGATATTGCGAGTAAAGCATGATAAACCAATAAAAACTCAGTATTGCTACATGTTTACAATAATAACCTTTAAATGTCAGATCTACCGCTACTTGACAGCATTTAACGATTTCCCATTATAGTCACATTGTTCATTCTGCCAAATTGCTAAAATTGGATGGACACAATAAAAGGATTCGTCCAATCATATAGCTTTTGTTTTGCACGAGCTTAAAGACTAGGTTCTTTTAAATCTGATACTTCATTTGTTTTGCATTATCAATTTAATAGATCTATGTGTTAGATAAAAGGATAAAAATCAAACGAAAAGATGATAAAAAGCATTAGTTCATTTTTTTTTCATTCTCGAACCGTAAATCCTTTCTCATCGAAATCGCACACCTATTCCCTCCATCTCCCCTTTAAATGTTCCAACCATCGATGAAATTTGATGCTCCTGCATATTGTTCTGCCTCGCCTTACATAACCTCTCAGAAAACAAAGTCTTCCACTCCTCAGACAACTTCAAATTTGACACGTTGCACATTAGCTCCAATCACAAGCATTCTAACGTCCATTACTTCGTCTACGGCAAATGACATTACGAATAACTGTAATACTATGTTTTCCATCGTTTCTTGTCAATCTAGCGCATCCTCCGTAGGTAAGAATAAACGCGGCCGTAAGCCCTTACCAACAATGCCAAAAGAGAAAAGACATTTAAGAAATTTAGTCAATCAACGCGCGTTCCGTGAACGGAAGAAGAATTATGTCCACGACCTGGAAACTAAAGCCTCAAAATTTGAGACGTTGTACAATGAATCTCAGAGTGAAATTAAATCATTGAAAGAAAGAGTTGCGCTTTTGGAAAAACTTCTTGCTAGTAGCAATATAAATGATGCCAGCGATGGACGTGATAATATTTATGTGGTTGAAGATAATTCTAATGAAAACCGATTACCTCAAGAAATCTATAAGCACAAAGAAAACGTGTCATACGTGATGCCCACTGTCTCAGAACAATACACAAGTTATTCTTCTGCATCAGGAAATTGTAATTTACTATCTTCATTTACACAAAACGCTACGTCAACATACATGTTTAATGATGTACGGCAGCGGCAAAGAAATCATCAGCAAATTGAAGAAAATCACAATTCCTTTCAAGATTCTTTACAATCAGATTCTATTAATAATACTAATCCTGTATACGAACCTCGTTCTCCAACACATTCTTCTTCTTCTTCAATTGAAACAGTAGAGTCTGGTGATAGTAATAGCTCCACGATAACGTTAAGTGGACTCTCTAATCCAATAACCACCTCCTCACCTTTTTATTCGATTTTTTCTGAACAAAAAGGTTATTGGATACCTAACTTGTCGACTGCGTCTAATGATGATGAGTCCGTATGGCAGAAGTTTCAACCAGATCAACAAAGATGGCGTCTTACAGCACATAATCCATTGACTACATTACCACCGCTCCTTCAGTATGATGTCAGTCGAGAAAATTAATGACATTATCCATGAATTTTGCATGGCCATAATTTACTTATGACCGTTTTGTTAGTCGTCTTTGTTTGTTAACCATCCTTGTGTTGGGACGGTTGGGACATCTTAAGGGGCATGTCCATGTCATCTTCCATATTTTTATAATTTGTACATATTATTAAAATAGATCATATATACACATTTTATATTTATAAACCTTCCATTTCCGCACGTTATTTATATTTTTTTTTTAATGTATTTTTCGTTCACTTATTCGTGTGCGTATTTCGATCAACAACTATCCATTCTCAGAACGAATTTCCTTTCTCTTATAAATTCGATGTCTTTTTTCGTTCTGAAATATCGTTTTTACTTATCAATTTTTCGAACACTCGGACTTTAAATTTTTTTCGTAAACAAGCATTGGAAAATATATGATCAATTCGTATTATAACATTATGGGAAAAAAGTGTTATGACTTAGTTAATTTAAAGTAAGATAATTTTAATTATTCAAATAGATGGCATATGTTTCTTTCATTTGTCGTAATATATGAACTCTAATTAAGTACGGATACTCATTTACGGTTGTTTGTCAATGAAATTTTGGTTTTTTTTTTTTTTTTAAGCATAATAAAAATTTCTCTGAAAACTTACTTAATTCAAAAATAATGAACATTGATTATTAGGCTTAAGTTTTTTTTACAGGTGAATATATTATGTCGCAGTGTAATAATATTCAATAACGTGAAATCAGGTGATTTTCATTTACTAAAGTCATTTTTTTTATTAATAACTAAAGAATTAGCTAATTAAATTTTTTAAATTTATTTAGCTAATATCTAGGCTAATTTTAAAATCAATATATATATTAACTAAAATGTTTTTGATAGTAAATAATTTATAATTTACTATATATATGAGTGCTGTCAATAGAAAACCTGTCATCGGGCTTTCAATATTTAGTTGGCTTTCTGCCGATGATAGATTGTCCATAGACGGCATACAGAAAACAAACTAAATATTGAAAGCCCGATGACAGGTTTTCTATTGACAGCACTCATATACAGTCACCTATATAATCACACTCTCTTTATAAGCACCATTTTTTGAAAAATTATTGGCAATATATTCATTAAAAACTCTATATAATCAATCACATTACTATTAAAATTTTATAATCGTATTTTTTTTTATATAAAACAAAAAGGTTAAATAATTTACTGTATTATTAAAATACAATACATATATTTATTTAATGCTTTATTATAATCAGTTTATAAAATAAATCAATTATTTTAGAGAAATTATTTTAGAGAATTGCTATTTCCACCATAGTTACACGAGATTTTCTATTTTTAGACAATAATATATATATTGTATAATTCTCTAACTCTAATTCTAACCCTAAAACTAATAAGTAAATCTTTTTTTCAGTTTTAAGTAAAGTTTTAGAGAAGCTTTTTCTAGTTTTAATATTTATTAGATCATCAAAATTGGCCAAGATATTTTGAGTTAAAGGTGCAAACATAAAAATTTACAAATTTATTATTATGCAAAGTTTATTTATTATAGCAGATTATAATGAAATAAGATTATGCTTTTTTTTTATATAACATGTTACAGAATTCCTGTGCAATATATTATGAGATTTTTTTATAATATATCAGTCATACGATTTGTTATACAGATCATATGTATAAAATTTTTAATTATGGGTTAAATGATTGATGTACCTAAATTTCATATGCAAAATTTAGACAAATTTTGCTTTCTTGGCTTATTTGGCAAGAAGAAGCTGTCAGTTTAATTTCTGTGTTTGAGTTTGCAACTTCTCT